AGCAGCTGCTGCTCGTGATTTGTTCGACTGCAGTCGTATTGATTTCATTCCATGCCAGTGTGCCACAAAGCACACAAAACATTAACGTAGACAACGAAATATTGCGCATACGCCACCGTCTCTGCACGAAAAGAATTTCGATTTATTTCCCTGCTGTTTGTCATATTTTTCCTGCTTCATAACGGAATCAAAACCATTCAACTTCTGGCAAGGCATGTCAGAATGCCGACTAGTGATGGCAAACTGAAGTCATTTTCTGTGGGGGGAATGTCTGAAATACCTGCGATCTCTTCGCTCTTTTCCTTTCGAATACTTGCCTCGGACACTCCAAAGAAATTGTTGCACATATGTAATTTAATTGCATTTAGTCGTTGGATATATCGTTAATGTATTTTTTAATTGTTGGAAATTTGAACACGCTCATTTCACTCAAGTCCCATTTTCGAAAATTACTGCTTACTTTTTCCCATAAGATTTTTACCATCGTATGTAATACGTTTATAGACGGGGAATGGGTTTCTTTTTACAACCTTTTTTGTATGCTTGGAAAGTAGAGTTCTCAATGAGATTACTATCTTAGGAGGCACATTTACAGTGCTGGAAAAACTGGAATCCCCTGAAATCGGAGCTCGTAAATAATGGTTAAGATACGAGTATTTGAGACATCTTTAAATTTAAAATAAACAAATATTTAAACACTCATTTAGTTATTCAGTTATTTCCTGATATATAATACAATTGATTTTCACTGAACTGATAAATTAAATAACAAATTGGACAGGGAAATTAATTGAATGATTAATTCTTGTATTACTATAATTATTTTTATGTTTATATTTATTATTATATTTTAATGATTAATACTTTTATTGCTATACTTATTATAAATAAAATAATTCATATTAATAGGGGGCAACCCCTGCGAAGTTTGTCGCGTAAAATATCGTTCGAGAGATTACAAAGCATTTAGCAGTCCCTTTTTTCACTTCCGACACGCATATAACGATGTTTCGTACTGACCAGAGTATCATATCCCTATGTATTTTGGGGCCCTGAGCTTTGTTATTTATAAGATCTCTGTAAGTTAATCTCTTTGGTGCCTGTAATCTCCCAAATCATGGGAGATATTATTCTGTAGACTGTGAGGCATGCCTACATATTTTCCCATGTTTCTTGCTCCATTTCATAGAATCTACACATGTCGTATCTCTACTAGGTTTCAATTTCTTGAAATATCATGAGATATGTATCTCATGTATCCCATAATATCTAAAAATTATTCAAACGATTTCATGGCTACGATGTTCTAAAAATCGTGATAAAACACACACGTACTTGGCAAATGTAACAAGTACTCCAAAAGGCTTACTGCAAAGAGAAAATTGAATATGGAATGGGATTGATTGGATTTCTAATACTCGCATCAAAGCGAGAATCCTTCCTATACGTTCCATTATAGCTCTTAAAGTATTACCTGAAGGTATGTAAGCTAAGCTGATTTTGATAAATTAACAAATAAGGAAGTTATCTTTGGATCGCCGATTTTTATATTAGGTACCTTTGAACTAATACTTACGATCAATGAGACAATTTTCTTTCAATCAGCCGCCTGTATGTTAAATGTTATGGCAGCTATAGAAAACAGTAGTTCGATTTACGGACAAACCCATGGGCACGACTTTATTGAGCCGAATTTTCGGGCTGATCAAGAACCTTGAGTCTTGTATAATCTGAAAACATACGACATCGTTTTAGGCTGCAAACTATCGTATGAATGGGATTTCTGACGCACTCCAGACATCTCCAATAGCCAGCTGCTGGCCTGGGTCTTAACTGGGTCTTAACGGAGTCTGAACCGAGTCAAGTGAATACTTGGTCGCTAAATTCGGGCTGCCGAGCTGCTGGCTGGCAAGAGTCTTTTTGATTGAGCTGCAGGTTGACTGCCCTGGCCTGGGACCGTGCGGCAGCTGCTGTTGATCCGTGCAACGCGTCCCGATGCGAAGGCCATCGATCGCCGCCAGTCAGAAAAAACTTGTGCATATTTCTGGGTGATTTTGATGTCGAGATGCCGCAGCGGATGCTGGTGCCCCGGCAGAGTGAAAGTAGTTTTGTATTTCTGAGGTGCATCGGATTAAAATTGGGAAATATTCAATGCGAGAGAGGCGGCTTTTATAAATACGTGTATGATGTCTCTATTCTTTCGGCGAATTATTCATTAGTTGAGGTGCTTTGTCCCCAAATGTCCCCCACATAAAAGAAGATTAACCGTTTTTGGGGGGTTACATCATAATCAGGTCTCTTTCACACTTTCTGTGCATGCCACTTGGCTTCGGGGCATTCCACAGGCAGAGGCTTGGCCTGGCCTGGCCTGGTCGCCGAGCAACACTCACTGTTCAATTTTTCCCAATTGTCGACCATAAAACACACAACGACTTATCGGGCAAGTCAATCGTAAATGCAGCAAACAAGTTGCATGCAGGCTGGCTGGCTGCCTCCTGCCCCCAGAGTGGAGTTGGCTAAGGCTGTGTATTAGCCATAAGCCATCCCCACCAGGCCAGGCCAGCACAGGCCGCCTTTCATTATCTTCTGGGTCCCGGTCCCCCCAGTGCGACTGCCATTCCAAGGCATGCCATCCAATCAACCCGATGCCATCGCCGCGCCGTTCGTTCATTTGTTGGCCAAAACGTCTCGTCGCCTATCTGCATTTTCCGATCGTCCATCGTCCATTTCGCTTCGCCTTTGTCTGTGTTTTATTTTGTTTGTTTAATTAACCTTACCATAACCGGCCAGGCCATAAAAATGTTTTCTTTGTTGCTACCGAACAAAAATATTTTGACCGGGCTCAACCGGGATTTGAACCCGGGACCTCTCGCACCCAAAGCGAGAATCATACCCCTAGACCATTGAGCCTCATGCCGGGCAACGGGCCAGTGCCTGCTCTTGTGCTCCGCCTCCGACTGCTGCCTGTTGCGGCTGTTTTGGCCAACAGTGCTCTGGCCCAGTTTCGGCTGCCACATGCATTTCGGCCCGACAGCGGAAAGTATGCAACAGTCTCTGTTCGTGCCGGCTGTTTGCCCCGTGCGCCTGAACGAGTGCTGTGGCAAGAACTGGTTGCCCGAGCAACGGATTTGTACGGTGGGTAGGCACTGGTAGGGTATTTTTGATGAACTCTGGAATGGGTTTTGTTATTTTGATGGGGTTTTAGTGGGATAAATGTAAACTTTAGCAGAAAAGCGGAAAATTGTACTTAGACTTTGAGTGTTTTACAGATGGGGGAAATCATCTATACAACTATTATTGGATCTATTCTGAGCCTTCAATTGCAGATAGCCAGCCTTAATTTTGACGCATAATGTGTTCTTTCGCGTTGTAGTTCGAATTAGGGCTTGCGTGAACCATTTAGGGGAACCATTCTGTTCCGACTTCCACTATATGTACCATATTTTATTGTCTTGTAAAATACTAATACTTTTACGATTCTAATTAGATTCGCTAGATCGAATTATTCTTTGCACGAAGCGTTTATGCTCGGATTATAATTCCCTCCAACAGATTACACCCACCACTAATTCCCTTGCTATTATGAAATTACTAATACTCGCATACCTTTCTCGTAATTAGTAATTGCAGTGGTATTTGTATTTTGAATGCCTGCTTAGTTCTCTTAGTAAGTTTAATTATAATTTCCCTCGAATATTAGTCTAACAGCAATCTTTCCTGCAAGTTCTCGTTCGGTTAACGCGCTGCGCGTCATGCGGCAGCACCCCTCTGTCGGTTGGGTGGTAGGATGGCTTCGTTTTTGCCTGGGATCCGCGCGTAACAGCCTTCTGCTGGTGTCACACTTGATGGTGCGGTAATCCCATATCAACGCCCATAAATTAAATTATTATTAAATTAGAGGCTATTAATTAGTATTTGTATTTATATTTTTAGCACTTCTAGTTCAGTTTAGCTATAATTTTGTTCTACAAATTAGATTAGTTTTATGCTTTCCTGCACTTAAGCGGCCGATTCGGTTACACTTGGTGTACCATTTGGTGGTGGAGCCATTGCGAGTCAACGTCCCAATTCCCTTAAGACAAGGAGGTTTACTTTTCGTATAACAAAATTGCCACCTAAATGGGGAATACTAACCTTAGAATATGTATTGGGTTACGCAGCCGAATACCAATATTTCCCATTTAATCCATAGATTATATGTAGCTATTGGTGTACCCCTATTGGTGTATTGGTGTGCCCACTGCACCGCATTGTCATCCGGTTAGGTTTGGTTAGGTTTTTCCGGATTTACGCGTAGACCAATACGGCCCTTAACTTTTCCGAATGGGGGTATGAACCATAGCGGGAGTGCTTATGGGATTTTAAAGTCCTCGATAATCGGGGTGTGGCGTCCTCTTGGAGGCATCTTCAAGTGCATGTACCGCATATGTACTCATATATATTTATATTCTCGCACACAGCAGTAGTCTATGTAGCCGTTCTCTCTTCATCTCGCGCCTTTCTTTCCTTCTCTCTCGCTCTCTCGATCTGTCGCGCTCTTGTCGAAGCTTCGCTTGCGTTAGGGCAACGGCACTTTGGCCTCTCGGCACCTAGCGCTCTCTTGGTATTGCACATCGTCTTGGATTCGAGCTCTTCAAACCGACACCCTTCCTTAGATCCTCCTGCATTCGCCTCTCAGTTCCGAAGAATTTCTGAACTTTTTGGACTTTCATAAGCTAAGAGTACCTGAAATTCTGTCCCACCTTGCAGATAGGACCAAATCAATTCGTTGGGGTCCTTTGAAAGCTGTTTCTGTGCCAGTTTTGTCTGCTTTGGGACTAATTCCCAAAGACCATCTTCTTAAATCCCGGTGTCCCTGTCAGATTGTAAAGATTGTACCACATTTCCATATCCTCCAGAGTGTCGGAGACCAAGATTCCTCCTTGTTTTTTCTTAGATGTAATCTTTATTTAAATTTGTTTTTAGGAATCTTAAAATATGTACAATCCTAAAGGTAGGTAATACGTGTAGTTTACAAAGAAACTCCCACTAGAAATTAAGAACTTAACTTAAGCAAAATGCAACTTAGCCAAGGAATGCCTGCAAAAAGTAAACTAAAATATATCTGCATCTAGGTACACGAATGTGAAGAGATTTATAGAACCATTGCTGAGGAAAAAGCTGTTGAACAGTTGGAGAAAGCTATGATTGCCAGAGATACGCTTAGGAGTTCCATTTAGGGTGGCGTTTGGAGTGGAAATTCTTTAATTTGTGGATATATGAGATGTCAAAGTAAAGAATGGTATCTAATCAGATCTTTAAAATGTAAAGGTACAAACTCTAAGCTCAATCTTAGCCTAAGGGATTAACTACTCGCCTAAGACGAGTAGGTCTACAATCTAATAGGCATCGGCAAACGGGGGCTATCCAAGGGGGGGATGCTGGCCCAGGACCTAGGTGAAGATGTCCTCGACCAGCTGCTTGGTGATGATGCGATGCGGCCGCGTGGGGTTGACCTTGGGGCGCTGGTAGAGCCGGGCGTTGATGGCGTACAGCCGGGGCGAGAGATCGCAGCGCACGTTGAACCACCAGTCGCAGACGAAGACGGCCTGCGAGAACTGGGTGCCGTTGGGGCAGAGGAACGAGGCCTGCCGTCCATCGATGTCGCAGTAGTGCCAGCCTGGAAGGGGAGGGAAGACCTCTCAGTGGCGATTGTGTTGGCCGGAATGGGGGGGGGGAAATACTCACCCTGGCACCTGGTCTCCATGTCGGCAAAGAATCCGGGATACTCCTGCTCGTCGCAGTAGAAGTTCGTGTAGGGCACCGCCGACAGGATGGGATAGTCGACCCCAGGACGACCTGTGAATGATTTTGTTATTGCAATTAGTGCGCTTCCAGCAAACAAAACAACAAAACAAAACAAACTGCATGTCACGCAGTCGGTTTCCAATCAATTTCACTTCATCCAACCTTACGGGCAAGAAAACCGCCGGAAAAAAATGTGTACCCCCCACAGGACTCTCTCCCTCCCTGCCCGGAATTGTCAAATGCAGGCCCCCGTGCCGGTCCGAGCCCAAAAAACAGAACACAGGCCCCCCAAAAAAAAAATAAACGCGACATAAACAAATCCCTGGCACTCGGATCGTGGCGCGGCGGGTCTCTGGCGCTAATAAATGAATTTACGAGTAGATGCACTTCTGTGCCAAATATTCATTCCGTGCCATTCGGAGGGAAAATAATTTAAAATCTCGCACTCTTTTTTCGAGCCTGATGCTGCTGATGGCACCCGAAATGCATTTCGCCTCATCTTCAGCTCCGACCCGGACAAAAAACGGAACAAAAATATATTTTGGCAGTGGCCGGATAGGGATCCGGCGAGTCCCAGTGCGGAGCCGCCTCCTGCACTGCTGCTGGGTTAGGCCGACCCATTCCCATACCCTCGCCACTGGTGGTCATGGCTGTGGCATCCTTAATGACCAGGCCGGGGCCGTGCATATTGATTGACTTGTCATCGGCATCAACAGAATGCCACGAGGCAGCCAGTTCATAGAGTATGGAGTGCAGGCGATCTCTCCCAGTGGGAGGATGTGTGTAATTTTTAAGTAAAACCTACGAAATCGAACAGTCTCTGACAGGATGGTTCTGAATAATCTAATAACCATCTTTCGGGAAGCAAAACATTGGGAAAACTTCTAGGAATTTGGCATGGATCACAACTCCATTAGAAGACCTTCCTCTCAGGTCTCAAAACCTTCCTGTACAGACCAAAAACTTACCCGGAATGGACTTTCCCAGCTCCAGATACTCCCGCACTGAGGGACTCAGAAAGTTCTCTGGTATCTCCGGCAGATCCTTCTCCTGGCTGCCGCTCTCATCGTTTTCCAGATCCTGCTGCGGCTCCGGCTCAAAGTTGACCGGTTCCGGGGCCCGTGGGCGTTTGGCTCGCTTCGAACGGACCGTTTCGCGGCAATCTGCAAGCAAATGAGACACCATTATGAGACAGCCATTACTCGACTCTGCCAAGCCTCAAATCTCTAAAGTTCAAGGTTTCGCCGGGGGCAAAAACCATCAAAGTTAAGTACGATTCCAGCATTAAGGCGCTAATGTCAAGATACAAATACGAATGTGTTTTGCCCAACCACTCCTAACCCAGTTCTCGAGACGACTGCGACGGTAGCCAAAGCCAAGTTAACTTTAACCTCAACAGCGTCTGACCCGCTTTTGGCTTTTGCTTTTGGCGTTGCAAGCAACTATTGTGCAACATTTGTTCTCCCATTCTGTGGCAGTTGCCGTCGTCGTTTGCTTGTGCTGCTGCTGCTTCTGATGACAAGTTTCGTGCGGTTGCCTCTAACCTTGTGCGCTTCTTTGGCAGTGGGAAAAGACTTGCCGCTGAGTAAAGAGCTCTGCTGTGGTAATTGCTCAATGTTTATTTGTTTTCTTACACCCTTTCGGAGAGGGGAACTTGATAGTAATACAGGGGGAAAATTTTCATACGATCCTGTAAGGCACGTCCCATTTATCAGAGATTTATTCAACATAATACAAGCTTGGTGTGGACTCAACAGGTGATCGGTCCCGCGAATCCATCAACAAAGTACAGACAGTGATTGGTGCACGCTGCTCCGAAAGTCGAGTCTCGAGCTCGAAGCTAAGCACCGAGAATGCAAAAACAAAATACAGCCCAGTGTACCTGAAGTGGGCAGTTTTTTCTCATACAAATTAATTCAAAAGCCTACCCAACGTGGCTTTAATGTATGGTGATCCTAAATCAATGGCGAGGAACCTAGATATTGTATCCTATTGTATGTGGACAGATCAATCCGTTAACAAAATTACCATCTGATATACTGTTTAATTCTTCGGTTGATATAGTTTATTCATTCGATTTGGTTTGTCTTAAGTTGAACAGAATATATGCTTATATGTTGGGTGATCTGTAATCTACGAGATTCTGGCAGTGACAGATACTGGCGGTACGTGGCCACTCTTTTCCTGACGTCTACTATAGATATATTAGAGAAGATACAGAGGATCAATAGGTCAGACCGCGTCTGGTGTTCTTAGTCACTCCGCTACCACTACCACATGCTACAGATATTCAATTTCAATACTTAAAGGAATCGACTATAAGAATCAGTGGGACTCATATATAGGGGATATACTACCAAATACAATACTACATACTACTACATTTCAATAATAACTACCCAATTTACTCATCCGATAATATTACTACATACATTATAATACATATACCTCCCAAATGAACCAAAACTTTGTAAACTTATAGTGATGTAGTATATTTTAATATTATATGTTATATTCAAATACAAACTACACCCACAAAAAAAAAAGAAGTAGTATCTTCAATGCCACATTTTGTCGAATTTCTAACGTGAAAACCCAAACTAACCCACACTTTTAATGGATATTAAATAGACCCTCCTAGTGGTCCACTGCTGTCCAGGGTATAGCCGATTCGGTGCTCCCAAAAGCTTGTGTTAATTTTGTGCATTCTGATTTAGCTTTTCCGATTTTGCATAACTCCGTTTCGGGGCTCATTAGCTTGATTTGTTGTTGTACATAAACTTGATTCATTTGCGGCTCTGATCTCAGCTCAGCTCTGAGCTCGTCCGCTTCCTTCAGAGCCCCCCCACACATATCTTTTTATGTGTTTATTTTTTCGAGCGAACCTCTTGAATTTACATTTTGCATGCACCGCAGCTGGAAGCGGACTCGACACAAAACTAGTTCTTGAATTGTGTATTCTACAATGCATTTCACGCGCAATTTATTCACATTGGTTGGCAGTTGTCGTCGTTGACTGTTGTAATTGACCTTAACCTTGTTCCGGCGCTGTCTGTGCTCCTCGGTTCGCGGGCCGTGTTTTGGGTTGTGTAATTGCTGTGTTGAATTATGGCATAGCCATGCCCGATCGTTTATTGTTGCCTTTCATCTGATATCGATTGTGGTCGGAGCGGGGAGCCGGACAAGGGAAGGAGGCGATCTCAATGCAGCTGTGCAAAGCGATAGGCGATGAGTAATCGGTCTAACAATCTAATTGCGATTTTAATCGATATTTAGATAAAAGATATTTAGTGAACATTTTGACTACAACTCATTTCAGTCTTTTATTTCGATCAAAGAAAAATTTACATACCCCTAAAATAAATGCCAAAAAGTTTTCTTATTCTGAAAGTAATCTATGGGCCCATAAAAGTCGTATCCGTCGTTAAGGCAAATCTCCAATAAATCGTCGCCCAATTATAAACATCGTTAAAAGTTTGTTAATAAATATTTTATAGCCTTTTTTTTTGAATGCAATGCCTTAGGACTACAATATACTCGTATGTAGGTTTTTTTTAATGGTTTTTGGAGGAAGTGAGAGAACTGTTGCAATGCCCGAGTAGAGCAATGGGACTTGAAGCCAGTTTCAGGCAGTTTTGATCACGTTAGAGGGAGTTTTATTCCAGTTTTATTCGTACCTGCAACTCGTTCCAAACGATGTGTTTATATGAATAGTAATCGATACGAATTGTGTGGCAATCTACACGCATATGGAAGTAAATCTAAATAATAAACAAAATAAAATCCCTCCTGAAAATAATCCAATTTACATAAGTATTCCACAGCCACAGAACAGCTAATTATTTGGTCCAAACGGGGAGCACATGGCTCAGAGAGCAGAAACCAATTAGGCAGAGACACGCCCCCCCCCCCCTGGCTGCTGGCTGCCGGCTCCCACTCCCACATAGCGGCCAATCGAATGCAGAAAGCATAAAATTAAAATTAAATTATTAGCACACACATACACACACACACACACAGAGAGCACTGCGGCCGACAAATTGCAACATTAAATCGTAAAAATTTCGCAAAAATAGCAACAAAATGTATTACAATTGAAATAATTACTGCGAAAAAGAAAAACAATCAAATCGTAATTAGAGTCAAGAGAGGCCAACCAGCAAATACGACGACAAATTGTAAAAACTTGGCACTGATACGCGCAAGTATCTTTGTATCTTTGTATCTGTATCTAAGCCGCGTCCATTAGCCACGCATTTGTTTGGGGCCTAATGTCAAAGAGTTTTGTGCGTGAGAGCAAAAGAAATCCACAAAAAAGGAGTCTTTTTTTTTGGGAAACGGATGGGGAGTGCGTCGTCATGGCCTGGCTCTGGGGGCACACCCCTTTGTCACGTCAGGCCGGGGCCTGGTTGGGGCTTGGGTTAGGTAACCTGGACGGACGTTGGTGCTGCCGCCACACTCTGCTCCTTCCACGGGTTGCACCATCAAATCTGATGATTTCGTTTGGTTTGCCTCTCCCCCCCCTCCCCACCCGTTTCGGCCGCTGCTGCTGGGTTCGTTTTGGTGGCCTGTCGTCGCCCATGTGATTGGGTTTTCTTGCTCTTTCTGTTGCTATTGCTATTGCTGTTGGTTCGGTTCGGCTTTGGCTTTGGTTTTCGGTTTTGTGCAGTCGCATAATTAAAGTAATTGCCTTTCGTTCGGTTTGGTGTGGAGTGTGCGCGAAATTGAGTCAGCAGCTGGGGGGGGGGGGGGGGGGGGGGGGGGGAAATTAAACAGAAACACACAGTCCCAGCCCCAGCCACTGCAACGCATTTCACAATTGTGTAATTGTCGTTTTGGGGCTGAGTTTGCGTTGAATTTGGCACCTTTTGTTCCGCCACACCAAGGCACAGCGCACCACCGAACGACTGATAAGAATCGCAGCCACTTCAGGCCTCGTTTTGGCCAAATAAATCACAATTGCCACAAAATATGTATCAGCGTAGACGCATCTGAGAGTCGGGCTCTGCCTCTGTCTGAGGATTATAGCCACGGAATAGGACTCTCACGACTCCGACTCCATGGCTGAGCTCCCCATAAATTAGGCGACTTTTCTCGCTATCAGTTATCAGGAGTGTCCTGTTGGAATTATTAATGTTTTTCACTCGAAAGGTAAAGTTTTGAAGAGAAAGTCTGACTAACTAAGTATTGCAAATTGTTTTTGCATCTAAATTATACAAAACTTTCGATAAACCAGCAGTAAATCTGTTAAGCCTTCGAAATTCGTGTATACTTACTCGAAGGACAAAGAAAACAGAGTATTTTTAAATATTTTTAAAGAAAGTGACGTATTTTTTCGGGGTTCTATAAAAAGTGTTAAGTTTTCCATCATAATTTACTTCATTGTCATTTTCTTCCACCATAAAGATGCCAATAACGAGTTCTTTGGTGTGTTCTGAGCCCAACTGAAACCTTCTTCCTCAGACTATGGTTTCCTTAATTCTTAATTCAGGGGCAGACACTTTCCTCTTTGTTTCTTGACTACATTCGACGTCAGCCTCTTATCGCCTAGGGGGCACGATCCTCTCTAAACGAGGCTGTACTCGTGAGGGGATGCGGGATGAGGCAAATGACAAGAGTAACGGACAGCAGAGTGACGGAGATCAAAGTCCAGAAGACAAGGGTGGTACATCATATGATGGATTATAGAAGTAAGAATATATATTTTTAGAACTGATTTGTTCTGGTTTCCGTTTATGGAATGTTCTGTTTCTGTCAGTGTACCGTCTTTAGTGAGTGAGTGAAGATTTCGCAATCAAATTCACCGAAAACCCACAAACAATGCCCGTTCGTCTGGGCCTTAATCGGTTAAAGGGTTCAAAAAGCCAGCCATCGAGCAGCCAGAGGGGGGGAAATGCGAGGCGACAATTATGGGTAAATAAATCATTTATAAAAAAGCAAAAGACGACGCCACGGCACATCCTTCCACATCAACATCAACAGCAACTGCCGGCGGGAGAGGCAGCTCCAACCACAGCCACAGTTGGGGATACAACGCGGCTCCGCCAGCAACAACAAGATACATAATTCAGTTGCCATGATGAGCCCACGATGATGGTGGGATCTCGTATCCATGGAACGGTGTTGTCCTCCTCTTCGTTGTTGTTGTTGTTGTTGTTGTGGC